CTTACTCCAGGGCATTTCTTGATTGGGAGGCCATTAACTGCAGTACCGTCAGAGAAGCTAACCGATATTAAGATTAGTCGGCTGGATAGATATGCACAACTATCCCAATTAAAGCAACATTTTTGGGAGCGCTGGAGTAGTGAATACATTGCTAAATTACAACAACGCACAAAATGGCGTCAGCGACATCCTGCATTGAAAATAGGAGATATGGTGGTTCTCAAGGAAGACAACCTGCCACCACTGAAATGGCGTATTGGACGAGTACACGCACTATTCCCTGGCACTGATGGTGTGTCTCGGGTTGCCGACGTGGCCACTGGTAATGGAGTGGTTCGCCGTGCATTGACTCGACTCTGTCCTCTTTGGCTTCCTGAGGATGAAGAAGAGTTGAAGACTCCATCTCCAACGGGGGAGGATGTTCACGCGTCTAACGCTCAGGTGGGGCGATAGATCGATCCGCGGGGGGCAGGGTGGACCCCGGCAGCCGTCATTCCTTTTAACCTTCCTTACGAGACGATACGAGCCGGCGCACGCGCACTTTATCTTATATACTATAATTGTAAACGTAATAAACTAATTTGTTGGAATAAATTTGAAGTTTTCCTTGTTGCCCAAACAAGTCCTAAAATAAAAAAAATAACAATAATCTAGTTGCCAAAAATATATTTACTAATTGTATTGTGTATTGTGCAAGCGTAATTATTGTTTTATACATTTTTCATGAATTCTCAATTTTAAGAAAAAATAAACACTGGCCAAGTGCGAGTCGGACTCATGCATGAAGGTATAGAGAGATCCAGTAAATCCATATGCTTGTAATTTACATAAAAGAATATCTTGTAGGACAGTCTCAAACGCCTTACTAAAGTCTGTATATATGACATCTACTTCCTTATTGTTATCTCTTGCATTGACAATAGTTTCAGTAAAAGATACCAGATTAGTGCATGTGGATCTGAACCTAGAAAATCCATGTTGATCGGAGGAAAGATAATTTTTCACATGCTTCTGAACTAAAGGATTTACAGCGCATTCAAAAACCTTAGCTGACCTAAAGGAAATTGAGATGGGTCTGTAGTTACAGATCAGATTCGTACTACCTGCTTTATGTACAGGACCACCATAGCTGATTTTCATTTATCCGGCAAAGTGCCAGAGACCATTGATTTATTAAAAATAGAACATAATGGTACAGCTAGAGCTGAAGCACAAGATGCAATAAAATATGCAGATATACCGTCTGGCCCTGCACCCTTATTGGAATCAATACCTTTTAAGATATTTAATACTTCCTCACCAGTCATTGTAGGACCTGTAACAGAAATACTGTTATCATTAAGGTGCGTTATATATTCGGAATTTATATAGATATTAGTTTACTTGTTAGAATTTAGTGCAAAGAAAATTTTTTTTGCAAATATGTTGCTAATCGAGATGCCTTCGGACGTTTCTGTAACTCCGTCAGTCATATTAGCCGGGTATAAGCTCAGACAACCCCTTTTTTGTTTAGTAAATATCCAAAATAACTTACTATTTCTTATAATACCTTGCTCGATATTATTAGTATAGAGATTTAAAAGGATCCATAGGGTCACATTCGTTGTTTATTTTCTCTGCATTTACGGTGTAAATAATATCGGGTACAATTTTAAACAACAACTTTCACTACAGTCTAGCTAGGTCTGACCTTTTTATGAGAGTGGGCTTCATAATAATAATAAAGTTAAAGTTTAAATAATAATAATAATAATAAGTATTTATTTCAGATCAATAAATCCATAGTAATTAGATTTTATATCTATGAATACAATTAAGTTTAATAATAATAACAAGAAACCCAAATCCAGGGTACAATAGCTACAATGACCTTGCAAGTTTGCCAAGGTCATTGTAGCGTTCGACAATAGGGCACAATATGTTGCACGTGGCACTATACAGGCATGGCATATATACAGATAACTTAAGTAATAAGTCGAGAAATATTATTAATAGAAAAAAAGTTTTAAATAAAAATCGTAGGCAATTGAAAGATTTATAACTTTGATGATAAATAAAATTGCGTGTAAATGAACGGTTAACACGTTGAGTGCGTTACCAGGTGTAAACACCTTGTATACGCCTCGCTTACAGTGCGGCTAAGAAAAGTATAGACTTCCTTGTCGTGCGGAAGGCATAACTTCAATTTGGTTCGGTGTAGGAAAGGGATATATATCTAAGATGTATTGTTAAATAGAATCCAATGGTGTGCCTACCTTAATACCGGGCTTATTAACCTGGTACCGCACGGAAGAAATAAAATTTCATCACAGTGCGAAACCAGATCGAAGCACCTTGTACTCCGCGCACCTGGTACCGCACCCCGCGCTAGCTTCGCGCGGCTAGTGTTGGCTTGCATTCGCGAGAAACGCAAGCATCGATATGGCGTCAAGACCAATAAAAGGTGCGACAAAAAATTGTCCACGGGGTTTGTGAGGATAGTGATGCGGTTAATATGAAATCTAATCATAGATTGATTGATCAAAGACAGGTGAGTCATCATTATTATTTATTTTATTTACCTAATTACGTTACCCGTGGGTAGGCAGGGTTTTGTTCTTTGTTTTATTATAAAAAAAGTAACATTTTGTGCGTATGTAAGTTTACAACAACGGTCAAGTGCGAGTTGGACACGCGCATCGAGGGTTCCGTACTAACTAACCCTGTAAAGTTTACCAAAACTACTAAGTTTGTTTTTTCTTTTTTTTTCATTATATTAAAACTTAATAAGGACTCGATGTTTTTATTTTACATCCCTAAAATATGCACCAGACTTCCCACATTCAGTGCGGCACAAGGTGAATAAACCTTGTATTTTAAATATAACTATAATTTTGAAACTAAAGAAGTTGTTAACGAACGGCTTCAGGTGTATGTCAATTAGTTCATTATTATTAATATTCAAAACAAAAAAATCAAATATATTTTTACATGAAGCCAAAAAACGTTATTCCTTTGATATAAGGCATAGTGTAATTATTATATAATTATAGAACGGTACGTTTTAAGTTTTTTGAGCGGAACCCTAATTCTTTTTCTAACATAAAAGTAGCCTAAGTAACTCTCTATAACATCAGTTAGCTTCCAGTGAAAGTCCCGTCAAAATCAGTCCAGCCGTTTCAGAGATTATCCGTAATAAACAGACAGACAGACAAAAATTAAAAAAAATGTTTTTCTTTTAAGAACCCTATATAATTTCATATGATGTAGTAAAACGCTATTATTTCCACATTACAAACAGACACTACAATTTTTTTATCTGTAAAGATGTCTTTGGAAGTCCTAATAGATTATCATATGAGAATATTTTTTCAGTTCCAATAATATTACATAGGTACGTTTCGAATTGATAATCTACTTTTTTTGAAGTCGGTTAATAAAACAACGTCATCATTGTATCATTTTGCATTCAATGAATGTATATTTGTCATAAATTAGTTTAGTTTTTATGACCGTGAACACTAAAACAATTTAAATATCTATTTGTATAGACTTTATTTAAAATAATTAAAAAAAAAAACATTAATTTATGTCGCTCTAACATTGTTTTAGTGATAGTATCACTACACTATCTGTGCAATATAGACGTGCCTAATTTTTATTGGTAAGTCTCTGTCTTCTTTTTTTACTTATACCTACATATAATAAAATTCAAACTGAGTAGAGTACAATAAATATTTTTTGGAAAATCTTATTGATATAGTAATTATTAGCGATATAGAGGCTGAATCTATAGTTTTTAGAATTTTTGTCTGTTTGTCTGTCTATCTGGGAACGTATCACCAGAAAGCCACTGGACAAATTTTGATGATAGCTGGTTATCCGGGTCAACATATAGAATGCTTTCTACTGCAAGAAAATATCTCATCTCTGAGAAATCTATACTAAACTAGCAGTACCCGCGACATCGCCCGCGTCCAAACTTGCGATTGCTAACAAAATTCACAGGATCACCCGCTGGGCTAATCTGAAGATTACTTGAAAATTTCATCAAAATCAGTACGGCTGTTTTGGAGTTCATAGGAAACATACATACACATCGAATTTATTTTATTTAATCAACAATTTAAATTATTGAATGCTCGGATAATGGAGTTTTTTATGAAAATTTAATAACACACCGACTGCAGCGCCACTTACCGGATCCATTTGTTAATTCGAATCCTGCAGGGACTTATTCGAACATACACAAAAAATATTAAAATAGTCCCTGCCGTTTAGGAGATGATCAGTGGCACAACGACTGCAGCGCCACCTAGTGTTTTCAAACCATCCAGGAGCCTATTGAGATATACACACAAAATTTCATCGAAATCGGTTTATCCCTTTAGGAAGAGTAGGTCAAAAAACACACGTTCAGAAGAATTATCTGTATTAAGGTATTAAACCGAGAACTCGCTAGTTTAAAAATTAAATAATCTATACTATAATAAAACAGTAGAGGTTGAATGTCTATACATAGCAAAAAAATGCTAGAAACCGAGTCAGGGGGATGTAAGAAGACAAATAGAACAAATCCAGATTTTTTTCATTTTTTTTGTTTCTCTGTCTGTTTGTCTGTTTGTACGGGCTAATCTCCGTATCTATTGGACCGATTTAAATGAAATTTTGCACGGTCGTACCTTATATCTCCGGACAACATCTTAGATACTTTTTATCCCGGAAGATTAAATAGTTCCCGTGGGATAGTTAAAGAACTATAATAACTTATACAACTTATGCACCTAATTTAGTAAAATTTAACATTCTGATACCTTATATTGCCGGTCAAACAACAGATTACTTTTCATCCGGGAAAAATGAACGGTTCCCGTGGGAACTAATAGATCTCTATTAGTGTTTTTCTAGAGGCGAACCCGAGCGAAGCGAGGGTGAGCCGCTAGTATATAATATAGTGATCGGAACCCTCTCTTCTGCAGTTTGACTCGCATTTGTTCAATATTTGTATGTGTCAGGTAAAAATGCAGCCTTCCGTGACAGAGTTCTACGAGGGGAAAAGTATCTTCATAACTGGAGCTACGGGTTTTGTGGGAAAGGTAACTGTATTACAACTTTAGAAATGTCAAAGACCTTATTCTCTTCCGTGACCATGATTGCTAAAACTATTCAAAACGTCGGGAACAAAAAATCAAAATCATTCCGCGAAAAAAGCCGAAGAGATATATTTCAAATGTCAAATATTCACGTAATTCTAAGAAAGAATGGTAACTATGAAAAAAGACTGGTAGTACAGAATTAATCGTTTGCTATAATTACAAACCATTCTGCTGTTTATTCGCGATATCTTCGCTAACTAAGAACGTTATTTTTTAATGTTTGAAAATGCATTTACGCATACCACCTGTATACGTACAGGTGGTCATGTAGGACTAACCGGCAGAAAAGTCAGTAGTACCCACTAAAACCCAACAAAACCTCCTCCAGGTAAATTTCTAAGAAATTAATTACTTTTCTAAGAAATTCATTGTTAACTGTAACACCGGTGTGCACGCGGTCGTTAAGGGATTAATGGAGTGTCGCAGAATCGCTTACGCACTCAATCACTACGCCCAGGCAGCAGGTCTGCCGAAAAGACCACAATAATTATGTGATTGCTCCAACGGTCCACTCTGTCGCCAGAGAAGTACCAAGGGCAACCGACATGGCACAACGCCCACCGAAAGGGGCCACCGTCCTGTGCGTTTTTTAGCTTCGCGCCCGGCTGGATTGCCGGACACTAATGAGCACCGCCACCACGACACTGTGAATATGTATGTAAGAAGCACAAAGTGGACTTTTTACTTTACTGGTCATGGAATTCGCCATATATTTTATGATGAAAGTCATATCCATTCACATCATTTCTGCATAGGAGTAGATAAAAAAATATTTTTAGATACAGCAGTATAATAATAGCAGGAATAGTGGAGGAACGAACAGAGTATAAATATACAAAGATACGTTCTTTTTTATTTATATATTATATGTTCGTTATAGTCCTTAGAAAAAATTTAACAACGTCAAAACAAAATTTATGGTGTAATCAAAATTTATTTTAAATTATATCCGAAAATAACATTAAAAATTTATGTAATACGTAGTATAAAAAATGTTTTAAAAGACAACAAAATTGAAAGTGCATAATAATTACAAGACTTCCGCAATACCATTCAGACAAAGAGAGACAATAGCATTCCCAAGGAGGGTTGACGTCAGGCAGACGGCCGGTCTTAAAACTTTTGCCAAATCCTTTCAGCAGTACAGAAGATGTACTGCGCCGACCCCAAGTGATTGAGAAATGGGCAGGAAGAAGAAGAAGAAGATGTTCGTTATAGTCCAAAAAAAGCTTAAAATATGACACAGAGTGAGATAATTATAAAATGTGTATGTCTTTATAAGTAATTATGTATATAATATGTACTTAATAATAGTTTTATATATACTTTTACAGGCCATAGTGGAAAAACTACTCAGATCATGTCCAGGCATCAAAACTATTTATGTCTTGATGAGAGAGAAGAAAGGTGTATCGAGTGAACAGAGACTGAAAGAGCTATGTAACAACAGCGTAAGTACTTTTTAAAATAAAAGCATTAGTTACCATTGTTTGAAACGAATCAAGCCATCCCTTATTGTATAAAAACTTAAAAAAAAACCAACTTCCAGGCACTAAAATGTAAAAAATAACTAAACAGGGGTTTTCATTTAGAATAGATACCTAATCAGATATTTTTGAAGTCGGTGCCAGCCGATGCAAAGCAAATCTAATATATTTCGATACGTAAAACACATATTTACCTATTAGATATTCATGTCTTAAAATATTGTCAGCAAAAAATATGTAACTCGCCATTTTATGGCGGCGGCCATCTTGGCCTGGTTTTCATCAAACATAGCTAAGAACACTCCCGACTAATTCATCAATTCAATTTCACCTTTCAAATAAAAAAAAACAAAATCAAAATCGGTTCCGTTCGCAAGCTACGATGCCACACACAGACACACACACAGACGCCTCAAAATTACGTCCCGTAGTTTTTTCGCCGGGGGTTAATGTGAAAGCTTAGATGGCTGTTTGGATGTTTGTTACTCAACCACGCCAGAACGGCTAAACGGATCTGGCTAAAATTTGGCACAGAGATAGTTTGTAGTGTGGCATAGCACATAGGCTACTTTCTATCCCGGAAAAATGTACGGTTCGTGGGATAGATTTGTTTTTATTTTACTAGAAATGAAATCGAGGGGAACTCGCTAGTGAAAAATAAATGAAATTCGTAACGTAAACTATTCAATCGCAGACAATAGTGCAAAAATTTAAATTAAAAACCTGTTGCTTTTCAATTTCCTACTGAGCTAGTATTTAAAATTGCTAATATGATCAAATACTTGACTTAGATGCATATAATTTACCAAAATGTTTATAAATGTACATAATATATAAAATAAAACTTATTCTATTTATGATGTGTTACGTTGGGTTTATGATAATATGTAATATATTGTCAAGTCATTTCCTAATCTATACATATAATAAAACAGTAACATAGCGAAATCGATGTTCGTGTTTCACGCAAAAAGTACTCAACCGATTTGAACTAATATTTGTATAGATATAACTTATTACTCGGGTCAACATTTAGGATACCTTTAACTACAGGAAAATCTTTCATTCCCACGGGAAAACACAATAACTGGTTCTTTTGAGTCATCCTTAGAAATTTACAAGTCTAACGCTGGCTAAACCTTAAGAGATACATCAAAACTATTATGCGAACAAAGCAGTGGGGAAAACTAGTAATCTATAAAATGCAAAGAATTTTTCATATTAACCTGGTAGTTCCAAAGATTAACGCATATAAACCAACGAAAAGCTCTTGAGATTTACTACTAGAATCACCTCTCATGCTCGCTTTATCACTAATTTAGATAAAGCCATCCAATTCCAAATCCATTCTTATGTATGGTTCAAAAATAGATTATAAGTAATTGCGCAAGATTGTGGGTATGTTTTACCTTCACGTTGAAACAGCTGGACGAATATCGATGCTTAGAATATAGGTAGACTATGACCTGATGTAACAAATAGGCTTCTATGGAATGCTGATTGTTGGTATCGGGTATGTGAGGGGTGTATCGGTCAGCTAGTCAAAATATAACAATACTTCCTTACTGTAAGAGGTTCATAACTGTTGAGTAGAACCTTACTAATGAAACCATAAATTTTTGGGGCTATATATAAATTCATATTCAAAATATACGGCACCGAAGAAAGTTCAAGACCAGGATCAATGTCATGATGTGGATTCCGAAGCCCGACCATAGGTTTCACTCCGAGACTCCACTGAGAATTTCTTGATAGGAACCCAATTGGCAATAAGTAATAACTTTTTTTGGCTGTACGTGAGACCAAAGTTGGATGTACCTGACCTACTGGACTACTATGGATGAAATGTACCTAATGTAGTACAAAATTTATATTTTTTCAGGTATTCGACTTGTTGAGAGACACACAGCCTGAAGTGTTCAATAAACTGAAGGTGGTGGCTGGTGACATATTAGAAGCAAAGCTAGGCCTCTCGAACGAAGATCGTCATGAGTTGCAGAAACATTGTAACATTGTGTTTCACAGCGCTGCTTGCGTCAGGTAAAGAAAGCACTTTACTTATGCATATGAGGTTGAGAATTTGAAATTCTTACCTTAAGTGATGTATGTATATCGAATTATTTTTATAAATGCAAAAGTTTATTTGTATATGTAAGGCCCATTTCGGCGGTCGGTGTATCATGCGGATTGCTGTGGGGTCTGACAGCAGAATGGACCGAGGGAGCAACCCCTAGGTTATGTGGTCTTCTTCCGCAACTTATCATCGGGGCGTCGTGGTTGGGTGCATAAGCGATCTGGTGACCAAAATACCAGGACCAAATTATGTTGGTCTAAAGACAATCGTAAAATAACATGAAAGTCCTTTTGGGAATATACTGTTTACATCATAACAACAACATCTGTAAGAAAAAAAAATATGTCTTAAATTTTACAAAAATAAAAGTATTTTTATTGCTCCTTCTAAGCGGTAATAGTCCAGCAATTAGCAAAAGAAAGCGCGTGACCGGTGGAGGGGGAGGGGTGGAGGGGTGTAGGAAGTAGCCCTTACTCATTTAAACTTGGCCAGATGCTAGAACTTTACCGTTTAGAAGGTGCAATAAAAATATTTTTATTTTTGTATTAAAATAAAAATTTAAATTCACACACACTCGGAGGTCGCACACTCGGAGGTCCTGGGTTCAAGTCCCGGGTCGGGCCAAGTTTAGTTTTTGAATCTTTCTGTATATTAAGCCTCAGTAGCAGCCCGGAGTTGGGAAGTTGGCGGTGTTTCACCCCCGTGCCTCGGAGAGCCCGTAAAGCTGTCGGTCCTGCGTCTTAACTCTCACTGGCCGTGTCGAGCAGTCGTCCCACCGGAGTATGAGAGTGACAGGAATAGAGAGTGCACTTGTGTCTGCGCGTACACTTGTACACTATAATGTCTACTGCGCAGTTGGCTAGTCTCAGGGAGATTGGCCGCCGTGGCCGGAATCGGTCAGGAGAACATCATCATCACATCATATTTTGATTAAATTCTAAAAAAATCGTAAAACTTTTCAGATTTGATCAGGAGCTAAAATTTGCTGTCCAAATAAATACCATCGCAACTCTCAAAGTTTTAGGATTAGCTGAAACGATGTCAAAACTCGAGGTAACGATGTATTTTTTAACTGATTTCAAATAAAGATCATTTTATTAAGTTAAGTAAAACTTGAAAAGAACATAGACGCACTTAATATTATGTTATTTATTGAAGTCGGGCCGTCAAATATTTTCCTAATAATAACATGATATATATTTTATGTATGTAGTAGGACGGTAAATATTTATTTAGCCATGTTACATAACAAATATTTTTTTAATACTGTGGTATCAAAGTGTTGTTTGTATTATAAATTGAAATATCATTCAGAAACACTTTCTTGAAAACTATTTATAAATGTATTATCAAAAGTAAGCACAGCAAAAAATCAAATATATAATTAAACAAACAAAAATACTATGACAAGAACAAAATTAAAAATGTGTGTGTGTGTGTGTGTGTGTGTCATCAAACACAGATGAAGTCTCAAGTTTAGTTACCAAAAGGTCTTCGTTTGATCATAGTTTAATTTTAGTAGCCAACCAATAAATTTAGATTTACATTACAATTAACATTTTGATAGACAGTTTATTTAGGCTGAAGTTTAATAAGTAAAACGATCGCGGGAAAGGACAAAATTACATAATAATATAATAGTAATAAAAAATTGTATGCTTGGTTACTTATAGCATATTAATTTATATTTTAATAAATATATATTTTAACGATAATGTATATTTTTTTTTAAATTATGGAATAAATGTTAACGAGACTCTAACTACGGACAGATAATATTTAATTTAAGAAACTTTTATTCTAGGTTAGAAAAATGGTTCATGGTATAAACGATAAAATAAGAGTTTTATAGTGGTAAAGACCTACTTATTTAGAAGTTTTATGAGGTTTTATCATTGAAGAGAAGGGAGGACGTTGATTTCACTAGCCAAATGGCAAATATGTTGTTAATCTTCACATATCTTTTAAAAACTTGTTAAGTTCTCTCAGACATGCAGGTTTCCTCACGATGTTTTCCTTCACCGTATATATAATAACTAATAACTTGGTTGTTCAATCATTGCTTAAAAAACTGAAAAAAGTAATAGAATAAAAAATCTTCTTTCAGGCATTTGTTCATCTATCTACTGCATATTGTCGATGCCATTTAGAGGTTTATGAAGAAAAAATGTACCCAGCTATACATCAGCCCAGGAAAATAATAGATCTCGTGGAATGGATGGACGACGAAACTCTTCGGCACTTAGAGCCTAAGTAAGTGGAGTGCTTATAGTTTTTCTACTATCGCTTAATTACTAACGACAAGTCGCTACGTTTTAGCTATCTACAGTTTTTAAGTATTTTTTTACATTAAGTCGTAATAAACATCCAACGACCACTCAGTCCGATAGACGCCTAATTTATGTACTTCTGCATCCAAACCTGTCAGTCAAAAGTTTGTGGTAAGCGTTACGGGGGAGGCGGGTGGAAATGTACGCTGATTGGTTAATTCAATACAAATAGTGATGAGAACCAGAAGTTTTATATCGTATCGTAGGTAGGTATCGTATTTAGTAAAATAATTTTCTGTTTTAAAGAATATTTTTAATTAAGAAAAGTTTTCTTTACTATAATGAAATAATAATAGAATACTTAATATTATTTATACAGGTTTATTCAAGATTTACTTACAGGTATATCCATGGTTACAGTTTTCGGAAAACTGTCCCTTACACCCTGTATAACTACTATGTACATATTGGTAGGGGAGCCCACGATGCTAAATGGGGATTTACTCGAGCGTCGTAGAGACCTATTGGGATGCAAAGCTTAGATGATAAGAAGAAAAAAATGTTATATGATATATACCTTTACATCGGTGGGGGAAGCGGCTATAGATTTTTAAATATGTAAAAAAAAACTATTGCATAGACATCCTCGAGCGCGTTAGATATTGATAGCATCAATGCCCTACGTATTTTTAATAATGTACGTATGTTAATCTGATCGTTTGCATGATGCGGGTGGTTGTATTTAAGGGTTGAAAATGAAAAAAAAAAAAAATTTAATCGAGCGCGTCAGATTTTCTAAGGGAGTGTTAATTAAGTGCACCAAAAAAAAGCTCTCATTCACTAATCTGACGATTTCGATGGGACGCAAACTCGCGGCCATTTTCATAATGTGCAAAAAAAATCGCCATTTTGAAATACTCAAGCGCGTCAGATTAAGATATATATGGTTCATCTTTATGTTCTAAACGTACTGTCTCATAATCTGACGATTTTCTAGAGGGATTCGCCTGATCTGACAAAAAAAATTAGAAAAACGGTTCACCTTAAAGGCCATACCTGCAACTTCCCGCTAATTCCATTCCTGGGCGCTTAAAATTGTACTTATGACATTTTTGAGCTCAAAATATAATTTATGTGATATTTTGTGCTCGCTGAGTTCAAAGAAATAATATTTCTATGCATTTGAGCTCTCCCAGCTCGAAAGTCTGATAGAAGTTTCATAGAACACTATTTTTGGAATTTCAAACCGCAATAACTTTTGAATAGATCAAGCAATTTTCACACGGTTGACGCCATTCGATGCAGTTTTATCATCCTCATAAGTTATTTTCAGGTTTTAATTGATCGAAACAAAAATTTCGGAGTAATCCCGAAAAAACACTTTTTTCGGTTTTCTTTCGTTCACGATATCTCTCGAATGAATCAACCGATTTTGACCGGATTAGCGACGATCGGCGTGGTTTTTCTAGCTTAAGAGCGGATTAGTTTTTGAAGTTAATTGAAAAAGCCGGTTAAAAGTTATTCCAAAAAAACCACTTTCAAAAAAAAATCTAATTTTTTTTGTGATTTTTCAAAATTTCTCAAAATCTATCGGTCCGAATCGGTTCAAATTCACAGGAAATCTAATTTTGAGGGAAATCTTTAGAACGCCGTTTAGTAGATTCCGATCGGTTTAGTCGTTGAAAAGATATAAGCGAGTCACACATACACACACCCATACATACATACATACATACATACATACATACATACAGACTTAGTGACAACATCATACTTCACACAAATAATATTAAAATAGCAAAAAAAGCCAAAACGTTGGAAACACGTTGTAAACAGTATGCCACGAACGAGTCTTTATGATCAGCTGTGATGGCGTCATGGCGGCAGAAACCAGAGTGGGGACGGAATGAGAGAGTAATAGATAGAGAAAGAGTGAGAGAGGAATAGACACACGGAGAAGGAAATGTAGGCATCACGCAGCTGCACGCATTTAACTTTATCGACGAATTTTTGTTATTTCGGCTTGCGGAAATCGTCAGATTATATATTTTTCATTATGCTTGAATTATTTCCTTCAAAATAAAAAAAAAATTAGCTACGCTCGAGAATGTCGAGATGACGTTTTTTTTTACAACTTTGTTGCCCTCCCCTTTTTTTACGTCACTCTCAAATTGTCAGATTAGTGGAATATACACTTTTTAGGATGTAATTAACTCACCCTACCTTAATCTGACGCGCTCGAGAATTTCTGATGGTCAATTTTTTTTTACTAATCTGATCCTGTATCCTTCACGGGCGGCCTTATATATGGGCCTCATGTTTTGTGGAGGTACTTAACCGGGTACAAGGTATCCCCCTGTATATTAATCTGCCGCGCTCGAGTAACTACAGAAAATCCCCTCTTCGGCTCCCCTACTATATTTACATGAACTGATTATTTATAAAAAAATACATTAGGGACTTATTACAATTATTTATTCTTTACATTTAGTGTATATAAATATTCATGAATTAAAAGTACATAAATTAAAAAAAAAATAATAGTTATAAATAAATGTCGTAATACAAAAGAAATTGATAATAATAAGAAGTAAAATTAAAATCATCATTATAAACAAAAAAAATACAATAATTAAGATTAACAATTATGCGTTTTATAATAATTAAATAACTTATATCTAAAAAAAATATGGTTTAACTGGTACAGCACTAGTTACACGTACCGGTAATTAAAGAAAAGTATAGCAACAATGAACTGCATTGAAAAAAAGGGATGCACAGTCCGAGAATGCCCGAATATATCAATGCGAGTTGCGTGGCGACCAATATAACTTGAGCTCTGATTTAATTACATTTAATTAATTAGGAAATTAAAATTCACTTACCTATGAAAAGTGATGCCATTTTTTTTAAATTATATGTTTGGCTACTATTTCCACACCATTTTATTGAACAGGGAGCCATGTTGCGCGTCTGTTGTATTTTTTGTGTCGGAAATTCACGAGTCTCAAGCAATGTGTGCGCGGGTCACGGATGTGGTCGCTACTGAAGTAAATCGCGCGATCGTTTTCTCAAGTCAGACGTACGAGAGTATTTGTCTAACGTGTTGTCTGAAAGTGTTCGCCTTGCGTGAGATGTCTATTGGGCTGAGTGGTCGTTGTAAACACCCATTTCTCGTCACGTGACGTCGTGGCGGCGGCGACGAGCGGCGAGCCTCGCTCGTTTTATTTTGTAATAACAACTTTAAGCATTGCATTTAAGGTTCAATTTACATTGTTGTATTATTTCAGCTATTATTGTATTATTTCAGTGTTTATTTCAACTATAATATTACCTTAACATCAAACATAATTGATGACAGTTTTAAGAGAACTTTCGCTTGGGATTGTGTATCTAATAGTAGGGGAGCCCAAGAGGGGATTTTCTGTAGTTACTCGAGCGCGGCAGATTAACATAAAAGAGGTTACCTTGCACTCTATTGAGTACTTTCACCACAATATAAGTCTTCTATATAAAGGGGCGCGTCTAGGGAAGCCGATTAAAATATTTAAAAAATGTTTTGATAAGGTAGAAATACTTGAAACCGTCAGATTAAGGTGTGGTAGGCTAGTCACATCCTGAAAAGTGTCCAATTCAATAATCTGCCGATTTGCACAAGCCGAAGAGGCAAAAATCGACTATAAAGTTTATGATGATTTTTGTCTCTTAAGCTTGTGCAAATCGGCAGATTATTAAATTGGACACTTTTCAGGATGTGACTAGCCTACCACACCTTAATCTGACGGTTTCAAGTATTTTTACCTTATCAAAACATTTTTTAAATATTTTAATCGGCTTCCTTAGACGCGCCCCTTTATATAGAAGACTTATATTGTGGTGAAAGTACTCAATAGAGTGCAAGGTAACCTCTTTTATGTTAATCTGCCGCGCTCGAGTAACTACAGAAAATCCCCTCTTGGGCTCCCCTACTATAATACTTTTTTGATCGATCAAATCGCACAATAAAACAAGGATGTTTTCGTTCTATCGCCTTTTCATGAATTCCTTGGAGATTTGCAAGAGAAAAAGCAAGTTCTCAAGACTTCGAAAATATCTGATTAGGGATTTATTCTAAATGAAAACCCCTGTTTAGTTATCTTTTTACATTTTAGTGCCTGGAAGGCGTATCTTTTTTTTTAAGTTTTTATTTTTGCATTTTTAGTGTAGACATAATAAGCAGGTACTTTGTAAGATGAAAGTTTCTAATAAGATATTATTCGATTAAGCAGTTTATTTTATATTTGTTGATTTTTTAAGAAACCACTCGACCGATTTCGATAAAATTTAAATGGGATCACCTGGGAAGTATACTCTTCGAAACGAAAAAAAATGTACATAAAAAAATATTCCGGCAAATTGAGAACCTCCTCCTTTTTGGAAGTCGATTAATGAGATCGCACAACCATCTGAAAAATTAGTTATATTACAAATGTCAAATATTTGTGTGAATCTAAGAAACTATTATTCTTTCAGGTTAATTTCTTCTGAACCGAACACTTATGCCTACACAAAAGCTATTACAGAAGACTTAGTTTCTGAATACAGTTCAAAATTTCCTATCGCCATTGGAAGACCATCGATTGGTAAGAAAATATAATTATTGGTCTGACCGTTTTCGGTTCTGGAGACCAACTCGACTCCTAGTCAGCTCGGCGCTGATGCGCACGAAGATGGCTAATTTAGCCGATCTTCTTAGTAAGCCCACGTGCGCGCTGGGCGCACGTGAACTTACCATCGACATAATTGTATTGAATCGCTGCAGGTGTTTGGGCCTTTAAGTCGTCGCGCTTAGCATCGAGGTCAGTTTTGCGCTGATCCTCGAAGATGCGAACCTGCCTGAGAACTAGGCCACTCTATTCAGGACGCTGTGCCGCCAATCCTTCCCACTTTCTTGGCCAGATGAAAATGTGACATCAGCTGCTGAAGTCCATCTGGGGTTTCCGCAAAAAGCAAACATCATCAGCATACATGATCTCTGTGATCATGGCGTAAGACACTTTGGCAATTTGGCTTTCAATCTGGCCAAATTGAAAAGACTACCGTTTGTGCGAAAGCGGATGCGGACACCTTCAGCCGAAGTTTGCAGAACTTCCCGGACTACTACTACAAAGTACACGCAAACGATGTGGGTGCTAAAACACACCCTTGTTTAACCTACAGGTAACGGGGAAAAACTCCGACCGTTTACCGTCTAGCGCGACGCAGCACTGCATATAGTCGTGAAGTAGTCTTAAAAGTCTCACAAACTTCTCCAAGCACCCCAGCTTTTGCAGCAGGCTCCCCGAGGCACACTATCGAAAGCTTTTTCCAAGTCAACAAAGCAGAGGTATTGATGACGACCTTGCTCTCTGCTTTTATCTTGTAGTTGTCAGACGGAAAAGATTGCCTCGCATGTGCCTCGATCAGGATGGAAGCCAAACTGGGTCTCCGGTAGAATCCTTTCAGACAACCCCCTGAGGCGGTTTAAAAGAACTCTAGTAAAAACCTTACCGATGTCATGACAAATGTTTGCATGTAATTTTTATTCCTTAGTTTTCGACCGCGTATATGGGGATTCGATGGCAGCCGCGGTTACTACCAGTTTTCGAATGGGAATTAACAATTTTTAGGGCACCTTTTTTAGCCCCCTCCTCGGCTGAGCAAAGAAAGCAGTGCCTTCCTAAATAGGGCTGCTTTGTCATCCCAGGTGCTGCCGAATTCACACCGTCATTCCCAATTTGCAGTGCAAAAGCAACCACGGTGTAATACAACATCCCTGGGGCCGCCTATGTACAGGACTCGGACAAAGCCCGGTTTGCATCAGACCACTCTACATTATCCTATCGCCATAGGACTTTTCGTTCTCGGAATCCAGTAATCGGAAGCGGTCAAATGTGCAGGAGATATTTAGGTGCACAAGCTTACGCGCAAACGCAGGTGCACACACTCGTACTCTTTCTTCTCGATCTAGAGGAACGGGAGACCGCTACGACTATAGAAGGGTTCGGATAATGTCATCCACCTTGCCTTTTACTTCGCATGGTCCGCCAACACCAGTAGCATATCTGCTATGGTTTGCCTTCCCCGCTGAAGCTCCGTATAGTCGCCTCTTACGACAGGCAGGAGTTACCGCAGCTTTATTTAAGACCCTGGCTGCAGGGCATATATAGAAAATATAATACACGAACAAACACAAATCTAATGACATCTGAGCAAAATCGGTTAGGAGGACATTAGCTTTTTGATCCGTTGGTGGTTCCTCACGAACTGACTGCCCTGACGATCTTTAAACTGAATTGACAATTCAAAAGTGCTTTTATGAGTCTAATTGGATAAATTTTAATTTTATTTTATTTCATTATTTATCATTATATTATGAAATGTACAAAAGAAAGATACAAAAATTATTCTGGTCCCGCTGAGTTTCTCTTTCCAGTTCTTCTCAGGACTGAGGCTATTACTTTCCCAACTCGTATTAGGCTCATGATGTTCAGTAAAAATTGTAATAATTAAATGCAAATAAAATAATTTGAACTTGAAAAAATACAACTGGATTAGAACCACCTTTGAAATCAGTTAAAATGTGTCAAACGAACATATTACATAATAATGTCCTAGGCCAATCTCATTGAGACTAGCCATCTGTGCAGGAGATATTATAGTGTAGCGCGTGTGTTGGTGTGCGCGCAGATACAAGTGCACTCTCATACTCTGGTGCGACGACTATTCGACGACAGAGCTAAGACGCAAAACTGACGGCTTTACGTACTCTCCAAGGCACAGGGGTGAAACAACGCCAACTGGCTAACTCAGGGCTGTTACGAAGGCTTATTAAACAGAAAGATTCAATAAATAACCTTGGCCCGACCCGGGACTCGAACCCAGGACCTCCGGATGTGCAGCCGTACATATAAGCCACTACACCACCGAGGCAGTAATTATATAACAAACATACATAATCCATTATAACATTACTCTTATCTCTTTGTATAGTGTCTGCAGCATGGAAGGAGCCCGCACCGGGTTGGGTGGACAATTTGAATGCAGTCACTGGCTTTATTGTTGGGTGTGAAAAAGGTAAATAATTTATAAAATGTATATATTTATTTATACACAGTATGAAACAAAGTCGCTATCTGCGTGTGTCTGTTTCTTCGCTTACTTCGTCTAAACCACGCAAAGAACTTTGGCACGGTTTTCAAGAATGTTTCGGTTTACAAGTATGTTTTATAATTACTACGTGACAAACTGACATACGTCATTATATACCCATACATATAATTTAATTAATTAATGTATTCATCTAATTAGGTGTTCTACGCACAATGAATTGTAAGACGACCTATACAGTGGATGTGGTCCCAGTCGACGTTGTCGTCAACGGTTGCATATTGATAGCTTATGCCACAGCCCTTGAAAAGTAAGTCAAGCTTCACAAAACACTTTCAATTTTCCATTTAAACATTTTGACAAAAAGTTACGACGAAAGTCGTGGCTTATTTTTTCAAACCACTACTACTATTGCTACACTTTATAGAGTTTATTTCCTCTATGTTAAAAAACAAAGCTTTATTTCTAATATTAATACACATATATATGTAGATAAAATATAATAAAACCTTTTTGATTTAAATATATTTTGCTTTTCTACCTGACCGCGGCGAAACCCTAAAAGGAGGGTTATGTCTTTGACCAACCCTATGTTCTTTCGTAATTTATTCTATTTCTTTCGTAATTACTAAACGGCTCAATGATTGTAACGATTCATACGTTGTTCGATTGTTCTTAATAACGCGGGTATCAATGGGTATACAGGTACTATTAAAAGATAAAAAGGCGTTAAACAAATTGTATCTTGAAAAAAAAATCATGTATCAAAATATATATGAGTATCAAAATTAAATTTTTTTCTTGGAATAGGTAGAATATAATAATTATACATAAAATTGTGTTTACTCTCTATATAAAGAAATATTTGATTCAGGTCTAAAGACATACGAATTTACAACATAACACTATCAGGTGCGAAAAGGATTAATTGGAATGAAATTCGTACAAGGGGTAAGTTTTAAACCTCTTACTAACAAAAATAGAAATTTAAAATATATTTACAAGAAAAGAAAATACATATATAGAAATTCTAAATATATTTAATTATATATACGAAACAACACTTAATAAATGCTATACAAGTAATTTCCGCGTGGAATAGTGGCAATAATGCTCCGCATTCCCCGCTGAATGTAAATACCGATTCTTTGAGCAAAAAAATACCAGCTTTTCTATGACCAGTAGAGGCGATAAGACGAGGTGTTGTCTTTTAACAAGTTTTCAACCGACTTCAAAAAGGAGGAGGTTCTCAATTCGACTGTATTTTTTTTTATGTTTGTTACCACAGAACTCCGTCATTTATTAACCGATTTCGACAATTTTTGTTTTATTTGAAAGGGTATACTTCCAGATTGGTCCCATTTAAATTTAAAAAAAAATACCACCCCTAAGGGTGGAAAAACAACTAATGATGAATTTAACCTACTTCTAATTGTCATATTGACTTGAGACTTTGCAGGTATTTCTATTTCCGTTGATAGTACAGTGTTTCGGTGTTGTTGACCTGATCTGATGGCAAGGCCAGAAGGTGGATAGGTGGAACTCTTCAACGGCTAATAGTAGATACTTTGAGTTTGGGCTTATTTTGTTTGATTTGGCAAGCCTAACAACGTAGAATTCTTACTTTGCTAATACTGTCTACACTAAAAAGGCAAAAATACAAACTTTTTAACAAAAAAATAAAAACCGACTTCAAACAAAAGCACTAAAAAGTAAAAAATAACTGATTGGTAGTTTTCATTTACTACCTAATCAAATACATACCTAATCAAATATTTTCGAAATCGGTGCCAGCCCATACAAAGCAAAGCACACCAACTTCGACAATATTTGATTAGGTATGTATAGTAAATGAAAACGACCAATCAGTTATTTTTTGCTTTTTAGTGCTTTTGTTTGAAGTCGGTTCTTATTTTTTTGTTAAAAAGTTTTTATTTTTCCTTTATTAGTGTAGACAGTAGTAAGAAAGCAAAGTAAGAATTCTAAAGTGTTAGGCTTGTCAAATCAAACAAAATAAGCCCAAACTCAAAGTATCTACTATTAGCCGTTGAAGAGTTCCACCTATCCACCTTCTGGCTTTACCATTAGATCAGATCAACAGTACCGAACCACTGTACTATCAACGGAAATAGAAACACTTGCAAATTTCAAGTTAATATGACAATTAGAAGTAGGTTAAATTCATCATTAGCTATTTTTCCACACTTAGGGGTGGTATTTTTTTTTTAAATTTAAATGGGACCAATCCGGAAGTATACACTTTCAAACAAAACAAAAATTGTCCAAATCGGTTAATAAATGACGGAGTTCTGAGGTAACAAACATAAAAAAAATACAGTCGAATTGAGAACCTCCTCCTTTTTGAAGTCGGTTGAAAATTCGGATAATATATTTTTTTTTAAATGTCAAATATTCATTTTAAAGTATTAATTTGATTTTCCAGGTCAAAAATGGATGAGAGAGTACCCTTACTCAGTATCTTTATGGTATCCTCGAATTATGATTACATCTAACTGGTTGCTTCACCAAATCATGTTTTTGCTAACACAACTACTACCCGCTTACTTCATCGACATGCTTCTATTTCTGATGGGAAGGAAGACATTGTAAGTGATTTCGAAACTAGATTTAAATACTTTAAGCACTTTTTAAGATTGCTTAGCGAAATGGCTAAAATCAAACCCTTATAATTTCGTCATGCTCTGGCTCTCTGGCTGTCCATCCACCTGTCCGTCTGTCTGTTTATCTGGGAACGCATCCCGAGAAAACCTCTGGACAGATTTTAATGAAATTTGGTTCGATGATAGCTGGCTATCCGGGTCAACATACACTGCGAGAAAATATCTCATCTGTGAGAAATCTATACTAAACGTTAAAATGTAAATAGGGACGAACCCTAGAGGAGCGAGGTTGAGTTGCTAGTAACCAGATAGAAAATGACTTTTTCTATCATAATTTGACATTAGCTAGTACGTAATTTATGTTATAAAATTCTATTCAAAGCTAAAGATAAGCTAATACCGATATTTTTCAGCATTAGGTAATAATAATATATTCGTCTGGTAATATTATAATATATACTGACGACATGTTTGGCTCAGTTTGTAGTGACCCTACTTGCTGCGCCAGCCTTCGCGGGTTCGAGTCCCGCTGGGGGCATTCATTTGTGTGATGAGCACGAATGTTTGTACTCTAGTCATGGATGTTTATATTTATAACATGTATGTATTTAAAGTTATATATCAACTATCTGGTATCCATAACACAAGCCTCGTAGCTTACCATGGAACTAGATGGCGCTGTGTCTTAATGTCCCAACATATTTATTTATTGTAACTAATATTTCAATAATTGTTATATTAATCTCAGGTGTCTCACTCACTACTGTATTCCTGTTCAATATTACTTGTAGTAGGTTTGTAACTAAGTATTTAATATTGAAACTAGTATAGTAACATAATCTGCAATATTCGTAATAATGTTTATTTATCTAATGGAGTAAGATACCGCTGCAAGATAGCTACGTTAATAGCGTATTTAAACAAAACCAATTGTTTATACACAATAACAAAAGGGACAATATGTTTTGACCGGGGTGCCTATTAAAATGTGCCCGCTAGTATGTTTAATTAAATAAATAATACTTGACTTTTTGGAACGAAAACTATACATTTGTTATTAAAATGAATTATACTCCACTTCATAGAACTATACGTAGAGATCTTGAAAAGTGATAGCTGCCGTTGCGCACTTGGCCGCAACCTCTTCGCAGCCAGGTGTAAGCAGGACATATTTGTTACGCGTATACGTTCATCGCGTATATTCATCATTTATATATCTAATTAAAGCAATTTTTTCTGTACCTGATAGACTACGTCTGCCTATGTAAAAGTGGCCGCAAAAGTGGTTGCGAGTCATTAAAGATCTTTTTGTTACATTGATACTTTCATGGCGTATATTCATCATCTGTATATCAAATTAAAGCTAATTTTTTTTGTGCATGATAAAATACCTCTCACCTATGTAAACGTGGCCGCTGCTGTGGCTGTGGCTGCTCTGTCTTTTCTAAGCCAAGTACGGTTTGCTAAAGTAAAATAAGCGTTTGACAAAACTATGAAATATTTTTTTTGTGGAACTTTGTCATAAAGTAAAGAGTAAGTTCTATGAATCTCGCTATTAGATTACCTATCTGGGTTCGAGTCCAGGGTCGGGTCAATTATAGTTATTGGGGTTTTCTGTCAAAAAAAATCTTATTGCTCAGTTCGCTAGGAGTTGAGATGTGACGAGGTTTCAAACTATTTTAGTAGAAGATTTCAGCCCTTTTTAACGTCCAACTTCTGGCATGGGCCTCCCTTAAATACGAGGGGGATCAAGTCATAGTCCACCACGCTGGCCAAGTGCGGGTTGGTGGACTGCACAGTGCACATGTCTTTCGAAAACTTTCTAGGTTCTCTCAAACATGCAGTTTCCTCACGATGTTTTCCTTCTCCGTAAGACAAGTGGTAATCATGTTGAAAATAGTTCGCACACGTAAATATCAGACGTGCGAGGCCCGGGATTTGAAACCGCTTCACTTGGTTTCCCAAACGAACGTGTTACTTGTCTGAGCTACCACTGCCTATTAAAACCATTTTAATAATGCTTAATATTTTTGCAGCATGATAGAAGTACAAAAACGTATCAGTTATGGAACTAGCGTCCTCTTGTATTATACTAACAAAGAATGGCATTTCATAAATAAAAATTTCGTATCACTAAAGAATAAAATCAGTAAATATGACAATGAGACTTTCTTTACAAATTTAGAAGATGTTGATGTAGATTTGTATATCAAGGATTATGTGTTGGGCACTAGAAAGTATATTGCGAAGGAGGATCTATCGACTTTGCCGAGAGCAAGAAAGTTATTGAAAATGTAAGTAAAAATAATAGCATTTATGTAGTAGGTAGTACAGTTAGTTAGTATGAAATAGATCAACTGTATGTACTATACTTACTTTACTATACGTATGTATAGAAAAAAAAAACAAAAAAAATATATCCCTTACTTGAGAAATGATTGATTCCCCATACAAACTTCCACTCCACATAAATACTATCCTATATCCTTTTCAGGGTTTAAAAGTATCTCCATACCAAATTTCATCTAAATCTGTTTAGCGAATTAACGTGAAAGGGTAACAGACAGACAGAATTACTTTGGAAATATAATATTAGTATGGATGTTTGTTTGTACATTACCATATTACACATTAATGCTAAAATTATGATGAAACTAGTTTTTATCCGTGGCTTCATTTGCGTGGTAACGCCAGGTTCAAGGGAAGCCTATATCCAATCCCAGGACGCAATCTTTATCCTTGCCGAATTGTATCAAAATCGGTTCAATATCTCATTTCCATGGTTGTTTTAAAAGAAAATTTAGATAACGATTACTTACTGCATTACTTTTCCAAACTTAAACTTAAAGTAACAATATATTGTATATTATATATTTTAATTGTGTGTTTCTTGATCGGTTTAAAAGTAGCTTAACATATGTATATAATACACATTTCGGTCGCGAACGTGCCGTCAAATATATGCTTGTAAAATACCCAAATATATAACTAACAAAATTCTACTTTCCAGACGCTACGTTATCGATATTTTGACGAAGATCATATTATTTTCACTATTTATATGGATTTTGCATTCGAAAATTGGAATTTTAAACATATTTTAATAACCTTGAAGAAATGTGACGGCGAAGAAGAGTTTTGAATAAAATACTTTTTAGTTGTAATACTAGATATATTTATTAGAATAATTTGTTTGTAACAAAGGTATTTAAGGGTGATAATAATAATCAATAAAAGTTGATAAAAAGACTGTCTTAACGATATTTCATCAAATTATTCCCTACATACAATATGAACAATTTTTTAACGTCCTATTGCTAAACAGTATAAAATTCACAATTTTATTAAAAAATATTACAAAAGTGTCAAAGCTATGAATATGTTAACATCGTATTTATATACAATTATTATACAAATTCATTGGCAAAAATACCTATCATCTACATTTTAATTAATTATTAATTTTCATATAACATATTTATTTACTTTATACAATTTTCTCGTTGGTATAGTGGTTAACATCTACGCCTGTAGATCAGGAGGTCCAGGGTTTGAGTCCCGGGTCGGGCCAAGTTTAATATTGAATTTTTCTAGCAAAAAAATTCTCACTCAGTAACAGCTCAGAGTTGGGAAGTTGTCGGTGTCCGGAAAGCATGTATCACGTCGGTCCTGCGCCTTAATTCTCACTGGTCGTATAGAAGTGCCATAGTGTCGTCCCACTGGAGTGTAAGAGTGAGAGGGACAGAGAGTACACGTCGTGTGTCTCTCTCCCTCACACTTGCACTATAACATCTCCTGCAGTTGGCTAGTATTAGTGAGATTTGCCGATTGGCCGAAATCCGTCAGGCGGACGTTATTATTATACTTTTTATTGGTTGAAGCGAGTTCTTCGACTTGCTATTGGGCATCATCCCAATTTAGATAAACTGGTTAATACTTAGAGCAAAGCCAACAAGCTAATTATTTTAAAGTAACTGGTATATCTTAAAAATATGTACTTCAGTCGAATATTTTTATCATAAACGAGATTAAACTAAGATTTTATTTATTAATTATAATACAAAGTTCGGAAATGGCGACAATATTAATTAAGTCTTGAGGGAAAATATTGTTATTCTATCATAGTTTTATGGGTTAGTTCACTCGAACCTACTAAAAATGTATAGAAAGACGACATCCAACCGCTGACCCAATATATAACGAGAGCCCAAAATATGAATCTTGTGACCAAATCAACGAACCACATTCTGAAACAAACAATTATAACAAAATTAACTAATTATATATTATTCAAATATCAAAATTACTGTGAAAGTAATTGTTCCACCGTTAAAGTTCAATTTGGGAGTGCAATTTTGTCTCCTTTGAAATTTACATAGGAAGGTGTGATCTATCTTTGTTACTCTTTCACGCCAGAACGGCTGAACGGATCTGGATGAAATTTGGCACAGAGATAGATTATAGTCTGGAATAACACATAGGCTACTTCTTATCGCGGAAAAATATACGGTTCCCGTGGGATAGATTTGTTTTTCTAGCTAGCTAGCTTGACATAATTATATAATTATGAAAATAGGTTCATAATTAGCGAGTTATGTATGTATTGTATTCGTATTAACGTCCCACTGCTGGGCGTGGGTCTCCCTTCAATACGAGGGGGATCAGGCCATAGTCCACCACGCTGGCCAAGTGCGGGCGGACTGAGCATGTCTTTCGGGAACTTGCTAGTTTGCATTTCCATGTAACATTTCCTCACGATGTTTTATACCTACATATTAATATAATTACTTGTATTGTTTACTGTAAAACAAAAGTTTTAAGTAAAACGTAAATTTTTTATTCTGGATATTTTACGGTTTTATTTTTGTTTCCAATGTTTCGAATGCTTTACAGAAATTATAAATCTATTATCAACTTACATCTTCATGTGTCGTCTAGCTGCAGGTAAAGTGTCATCGTATTCTTTCAAAATGTAGATGCGAGCAGCTTTGATGCAGTCCTCGAAATATTTTAATATGTCCAAACCTGTTAGAATAAGAAGTTTATACATATAATAAAATTGTAACTAAGGCGAATCTGTACATTAGATATTTTTTGGAAAATCTCATTAATCATCAAATAAACATTACTATCGATACATAAGCCGAATCTATAGTTTTTAGAATTTTTGTCTGTCTGTCTGTCTGTTACCACATCACAGAAAACCGCTGGAGAGATTTCTATGAACTTTGGTATGGTGATAACTAATAGCTGGTTGTCCGGGTCAGCATATGGGATACTTTTTACCGCGGGAAAATATCTCATTTCTGAGAAAAAATACAAAAACTGCAATGTAAGAGTATACTAATATATAAAACCTAAAAATTTGGTTTTTGGTCATATGAACGGAGCGGAGCCGCGGGCAATGCTAGTACTAAAATAAATATAAAAGTCTAATTTTGGGGTATTTTTGTTTGCTTAAATAAGATTCATGGCGTTGATCCACAAATTGTCAACACATTTAACATTTTTAATAGTAAAGGACTTATGAAATGTACAGCGCCATCTATAAATACACATTGTAAGGATTGTTTTTACGTAGGTCCATATTTTGTAAGTCATTTTGCTGGTATTTGAAGATTTTAGGTACAAAGTTTTTCGTACTGCTCTTTTTTCCTGCTTATCTATACTAATATTATAAAGAGGTAAAGTTTGTGAGTTTGTGACGTTGTAGGGGGTAATCTCTGGATCTACCAAACCGATTTAGATGAAATTTGGTAAAAAGATAGTTTGAGACACTGGGAAGGACATAGGATACCTATAGGTTTTTATCCCGGAAACTATCCCTTAAGGGAGTAAACATGGGGATGAAAGTTCGTATTGCGAAGCAAGCTAGAGACGAACCCGCGCAAAGCTAGGGTGAGGCGCTAGTATTAAATAAAAGCCTATTTTTGAAGTGAAAACTTGGTTAGCCGCATTGAGCAATTTTTTTAACTTTTTTTTATTATGTTATGTTTTTTCATATTTTAAGAATCTTGTGATAGAATCGTGTCTATATAAAAAATATCTGTAAGTAAAAATAATTATAACAGATAAACTTTTTTTTTTAAATATTATAATATTATGTAATGAACCCAAAATGATAATGCATTCATTTTGTATCATTGACCTGATGATGAAGTCAGGTAGAGAAACTCTTCAATGGCCATAAAAACCACTAGAATTTGGATTTACGTAAGTATCCGATTTGTTTTAACAAGCAAACTACTTTACACCTGGACTAAATTGTAAGTATAGGATGGTAAGCAGGAAGTAAAGGACTTACTCCCGCTTCGTTCGTTCCCGTTTCCCTAAGTATGCGAATTTTGTTCGCAACTACGTAGATTTTACATTTTTTGCGCGGAACCCTAACGTTTTTTTTAATAAAAAAAATCAGTCCATTCCTTGCGGAGATTAGCCGTAACATACTGACAGACAGACAATTTTTTTATAAGTACCGAATATACTTTCGTATGCGTTTAAGTGAAAAGTTTTTATTTTGACATTACAAACAAACACTTAAATTTTATTTATTTATATAGATTATGATATCTTACCAATAGCATCGACTTTATAATCTCTCCGCTCCCTCGCGTTGAGGCTCAGTCTGACAGTCTGTGCGATATCAGATTTGAAGTCCCACTGGTTATTTGTATAATACTCGAACACATCGAAACCTTTGCTTATACGACGGTGTACACGCATTAATCTGAAATATAAGAAAATATAAAATTGTATCAAATTATAGACGACACGTTTGGCTCAGTTTGTAGTACTTGCTGTGATTTTGCTGGTCGCGGGTTCGAGTCCGCTGGAGGCACTCATTTACATATGTAATAAGCACGAATATTTATACTCCAGTCATGGGTGCTTATATTTATAATATGCATATGTACATATATTTAAAAGTCATATATGTGTAGTATATCAACTATCTGGTATCCATAACACAAGCCTCGTAGCTTACCATGGAACTAGATGGTGCTGTGTGTTAATATCCCAAAATATTTATCAAAGAATTAGATAAAGCAGCCATGAAATCTCATACAACTTCCAATAGCAGTTAAGCTTTACTTAATTTGTTAAAATACAAAACTATGTAGATACACGTAAAACAGAAATTAAACAAGACTTTAATTTGAAGGACTGGCAACCTAATAATTACGTCAATACCATTGACATAAGAGTACGGACTGAGCAATACTCTCATGAAATTGACCACAAATAAAGTAGTAAAATGCAGTTTTTTTCTGGTTTTACGATTTGAAAACGAAGCTAACTAAATTTAAATCATATCTTTTATTTTAAATATGTAAAACATTAATACTTACACTGGTTTATAACCAAGACAGAAGAGAAGTGTGTCGATGAGAATTGCTGGGATCCAATGGAAGAACAACGCGCAGATATTGTGGTATAGCCTGGAATGTTTCATAGAACCACCTGGATACCTGGAGTGAAAAATAGAAAATGTTATATAAAAGTCTATAAACATAGATAATATTCATTAAAAATATGATAAAGATATTTTAAATTTTGTTTTCAGTCCTTTTAACGACCCACTGCTAGGGGTGGGTCTCCCTTCAATAAGATTGGGCCATAGTCCACCACGCTGGCCAAGTGCGGGCGAACTGAGCATGCCTTACGAAAACTAGCTAGGCTCTCTCGGACATGCAGTTCCTTCAGTTTCCTCACGATGTTTTCCTTCACCGTACGAAAAGTGGTAATCATGTTGGAATGATCCGCACATGAAAATATCAGAGGTGCGAGTCCCAAGCGAACGCTATTACTACAAACAATTTTATTTTGCTCATTTTTCTTACATTTTCTCTTATACTCGTGTCGGTTAATTTAATAAGAAATAAAAAATAATTATTCAATATTGTGTTTTCATAGTATATGTATAATATATACTACTCTAGATAAGCATTTTTTGCTTCCAAAATTATTCCTACTATTTTAGTGTATAACTCTGGCATCTAACTATAAAATTAAAATTCCTATAGTTACACAGTACTTCTTCTTCCTCACTTTTGAGTCACCTAACTTTCAATTTCAATAAAACCTTTGAAGTTCTTTCATATACGGAACTGTTTAATTAAAAAAAATATGGCATATGTAGTATAGAAATATTACAAAAAAAATATTATTTTCTTACCAGACAACACCATTTAAGGGTACTTTATTCATAATGATCTCCCTCCCAGCATCTATCATCTCGAGCCAAGTCACTTTGATTTCAGCGGATGAAGTGAAATTCACCACGTTAGATTTTTTGTCTCTGAAATGTATGAAATAATGACATTTTAACTCAAGTTACAATACACTTATTGAAAAGTTTAAAAAAAAATATTTACAAAAATAAAAAAAAAACTTGCTGTCGTAAAAACCGAACTAAAAGTATGAACAACAAATTATATCAAATATTATGTCTCCGACTGCATCTGTTCCTTCGTCAAATTATTTTTCATCCTTTTAGTTTGCTTTTTACGCAGTCGGTTTTTTTTTAATTATTTTAGTGATTTCTTTTTTATTTCTCATTCGAAATTACATTAAAACATTTTATTTTTAAATTTTTAAACCCACTCGATAGGTTTTGAGGAAAAATTTTTTTGGAACATGGCGACAAAAATCTAGCCGAATTGGCTACAGAGCGGGCCAAAGAAAAAAAGCATATATACATACGCCCCAAAAACATAACCGTCTTTCTGGAACAGTCGGGTAATTAGGAATTAATGAAATTGATTCACGCTTGTCGAAAATATTAGTATTATTTAGTCGTAACATATACAAAAATAAAATATTTGAATTGAGAATTTCCTCTTTTACGAATTGGTTAAAAGTATCTTCATTAACACAAACTTTAGACAAAATCTCCTACTACCTAGGATACTTTTTAATCTGACATTTTAACTTGGTAGCGCTATCTTGTGGGATAGCAGTTCAACTCTAATGTTATTTGGCGATAAAAAAAGTATATCGTGCTTGTATATATGTAATACTAGAGACGAACCTGAGCGAAGCGAGGGGGCGCTTAGTATGGAATATTTTTTTCATTTTTTTTAATGTTTTAATAAGTTATTCTGCTATACGGGGTGAAAACAAATCCAACAAAACAAAGATCATAAAAATCGGTCCAGCAGTTCTCCAGTTATAAGCCCGACTTTGTTATATATATATATATATATTAATAGTGCCGTCCCGTTTATCCACTAATCCTTTCACCAAAAATTGGTAAGAGATTGCTCATAGCAATAATACCGCCTTTGCATGTTTTTTTGTTATCTTTCTTTTCATCTTCTATACTTTTCTTTAGCACATATGCAATAAATTATTTATCCTAACTATATATAAATTACCCATTTTTTATGTAATTCCAAGCACTAATCATTATTCCGTTGATGAATACGTCAACAGGTAAGAAATCAGCGTAGCTGTTGCTTTTGCAGTACATAGTTCTGATGACGCCTTTTCCAGCGCCTGAAAAATATAGAAAAATTTCTAGTTACCTATTTTTTTAAGCAAAACAGTTTTTTCTAATATTATATCTCGCAAATTTTTTAGAATTTGATAACACGTTTTTTAAGAATTTGATAATATATTAATAGTGATTGAACGTCATATTTATTTAATGTTTAGTTTTTGATTAAATAATCATACAATATTTAAATATAAATATATATATATATATATATATATATATATATATATATATATATATATATATATATATATGTATATATATATATATATATATATATATATATATTTAAATAAATATACCATTTCGCCCAATGGTCGAGAATCGACTATAATCGTTATTGAGGAAAACATATGAATAAGATTTACCTGTCTATATAAAAGCTGTTTTTTTTACTAGCGGCACATCATTCGCCTTTAGAAAAAAAAACAAATCTATTCCACGGGAACCGTACATTTTTCCGGAATAAAAAGTAGCCTATGTGCTATTCCAGACATATAATCTATCTCTGTACAAAATTTTATCCAGATCCGTTCAGCCGTTTTTGCGTAATTGGGTTACAAACATCCATCCAAATATCCAAACATCCAAACTTTCACATTTATAACATTAGAAAAACAAATTTAAAGCTCGTCAATAGCTACTAAATATAAAAAAATCGTTGACAAACAGAGGAGAAAAAGGTACTGAACTGATCTTAAACTACATATTTGTATATAGATTTTATAGTTTAATTAAACTACATATTTTCTGGTTAACTAAAAAAGGTTTCCGACCTAAAAGGTACTGACTTCAAAATTACTTACAGCACTTATTCCACCTACAGGGGTGGTATAAGTTATTCAGAAAAAAAAATGAAAATCGATTTACAATTGACGAAAAAGCGAAAATTTGAGTATCATTTGAAGTGGGCAAAAATCAACAAACGAACATTTTGATACTATGATATTAGCACAATTTTCTACTAAAACGCTGTTTATATAATTAATAATGACCTAATGACGGATATTAGTCATGGTGGCCAATCCCATTCAGTTTGGCCAAGTACGCGCGCAAACACAAGTGCACTCACTATTCCTTTCGCCCTAAAACTGTATTGAAATTCGATACGACCTGTGAGAAATGAGGCAGCTTAACATGCTTTACAGTAAAACACTGTTCATTTTCTAGCTCCAGGCTGTTGGCATAACCTAGGACTCGAACCCAGGACTTCCAAATCTGCGGCATTACATGCTAGCCAGTAGACTAAAAGTAGTTATGTATTAAGACGGTAATTATATACATACCAATTAACAGTCCTGCAGGTCCATTTATGTTATCTGTCCAACCTGGTAATGGTTCTTGCCAGATGGGGATCACTGTTAAAAAATCAAACACGTAATTTAGTATCTCGCATCCCATAAGTAACTTTTTATTATTATATTAACTTATCCCAAGGGGATTATTTGAACACCAACAAACGTGCGTTCACCTTGTCGTGGTGGGGGGGGGGGGGGCTCAGTAGTGCCCGACAATACAGCCGGGCGCGAAGCCAAGAAACGCACAGAGAGGTGGCCCGCTTCGGTGGGCGGTGGGAGGCGGCCCTCTTCGGAGGGCGGTGTACCATGCGGGTTGCTCCTGGTACTTCTCTGATAGCAGAGTGGACCTTGGAGCAACGCCGTGGTTATTGTGGTCTGCTTCGGCAGACCTGCCGTTGGGGCCCCATTAAGACGGGGGAAGGTTTTAGTGGGTAGTACTGGCTTCGCCGGTGAGTCCCACACTTCGTGCGTAACGTAAAAAAAAAAGGGTTTATTTGAAACTAACATATTGATTTGCTATATTATATGTAAAATAACACGATATTTTATATCAACGGCAAAAAAATGTATATTTTATGGTATTTCTATAAGAAACAAAGTTATTGTTACAACCAAATGTGTGGTACTGAAAATATCTCAAAGATAAATTACTGAAATTCTTTGTCAAATTAATTAAAGATATTTTTTTACACTTATTTTTATTCGAATTCCAGCATTTTTCTATATTTTTAATGTATTAATTTATATTTTTTAAATAAAAAACTTGCGTTAACCAAATATTTTAAAGCTAAAAACGAGGTTAAGTCGATATTTACCAATAGATGGGCGCAAGATGATGATAGGTATGTGTTCCATCGCTTCCACAGCTAACGCTTCTCCTAAAGCCTTAGTGAAAGCGTAGGAATTAGGTAGCTTGCTTAATAACCTAGGCAAAATAGTTGAAATTTGGTAAATAAAAAAATATTGTTAATGAAATTAGATTATACTCGTAGACTAATAATTTTCTTAAAATAAACACGTTTACGTCTACTTTAAAGATTGTACATATTAATATATAGATACGTATAATAAAAGTGTAACTAAGTAGAATCTGTACATTAAATATTTAATATACAGATTCTACTCAGTTATTAACGATACAGAGACCGAGTATATGTTTTAGGAACGCCTCACGCGGAAACTGTTAGACAAATTTTAATGAAATTTGGAACGATGGTAGCTGGTTGTCCGGGTCAACATATAGGATACTTTTTACTGCGGGAAAATATCTCATCTCCGAGAAATTTATACTAAGCGTTAACTTATCTAGGGACGAAGAACCCAAGTTGAGCGAGGGTGAGTCGCTAGTTGTTAATAATATTAATATGTTACTAACTGATTTCAGTCACGGCGTCCAAACTCACTGAGACTTGAATCTACACAGAAGATCTTATAATACACAAGTAGGTGCTAAAACACAAATGCACTCTCTATTCCTGTTACTCTCAAACTCTGACGGGACGACAATTTGACACGACCAGTGAGAGTTCAGGCGCAGGATTGATAGTTTAACAAACCCTCCGAGCATGGGGGTGAAACGCCATCAACTTCCTAACTCCGGGATGTTACTGAGAATTTCTAAACAAATAAATCAATAACTAAACTTGGTCTCACTCGTAATCGAACACAGGAGCTTCGGATTTTCAGCTTTACATACTAGACATTACACCACCAAGGGAGTTGATATTGTTAATATACTTACTTGGGAGTGATAGTAGCGATCGTTTCTTCATCCATCCACTCCACAGCGTCGATTATCTTGTGTGGGTCTGCTGGGGGAGGATACGGACGTTCTTCTAGAAGCTTTTCATGTAAGTGGCAATAGGCAGTCGAAATGTGGATGAAAAGCTACAAAATATAAATAATGTCACGGTTATAATTATTTTTTAAATATTATGTCTACGAACTTTTCATATTTTGACACAACTCACTCAGTATTGTTGATTTGGACTATATATAATAAACTTGACCCGACATACGTTTTTTATCTACAATATCTTTGTGATCATAAATAAATCTCATAGTGAAAGAAGCAATATCAATTTTCCCAAAGTTACTTACAAGTTATTTATATAAAAAAATCCAATTGTATTTTTCTTATAACTTTACTTCGACTACTCCGAACATTCAGAAAAAACGTTGTCAAATATGTCCAGTCATTCTCAAGTGATGCGTTTACCAAATAACACTTCCATTTCCATTTCTTAATTTGTGTTTAAATTATGTTTATTACAATATTCTTTTTTTCAAGTTCTGTATTACATATTTATTTCACAACTACTAAAGTGATTACAAAGAGCTCATAGCAATGTATATTATCCATTAGAATGGCCATTAAAGCAAAGTAACACACAAAAGGACATATATGAAGACCAACAGACAAACGTATGTTAATTTTTATATATCTATATATATATATAGACCCGGTAGGAAGATGTTTTCCTGATAAAGACTTCGTTTGGTCGGAAAATTAAATACAGATTATGGGTCTCTACAACAGCGCCATCTATCTTATCCCATACAGCTATATCTAAACAACATCCAGATGACCCCATAAATACGTTAAAAAATATCAAAATCGATCGATCCATTTACGAGAAAAATTATTACGAACACACTCATATCAGATTTTTTTATATACGTTTATATAAAGATAGATAAGCATGTAATTTACCTGAAGATGTTTACATTGTTTCGCTAACTCCAAAAATAATTTGGTGCCTCGGACGTTGAGTAAAACCGCCTTTTTAAGTTCTTCATCGAATCTGTATAGTAAAATCAAATAATAATATGAATAAAAACACTTTCTTTGGTTTCTAATAATAAATTTAAGTTTCAAAATGTCATAACTTCATGGTAACTTCAAGGTATCTTACTCATTTGTTTTGCACTTGGCTAAAAGAGAATTTTTATTTTTATTATAGGCGCTGTTTGTTTCCTGATTTCATTTATTTAAGGTTTACTTAACTTATATGGTGTTAAGTTAAATTTAAAGTTAAACATGAACTTTGCACAGGATATCTGATAACAAAAGGTTTTTTTAAGTAAACACGTCATAATTTTTATGTTTACTGAAAATATTTGATTTTTCTCTTTACGCTTTCTTCCTTTCCAGTAAAACCACGATCAAAATCTAGTTATTGTATTACAGAAATAATTGGCATCAAACCTGATAGTAGCAGCAGCATGTATTATTATGTTAACATTGTCGATTATCATTTGTCGGTCTGTGTCGCTCATAGCTAGATCCGGCGCTGAAGCATCACCGTTCACAATTTGCAACTTCTCCAATAAAGGTTCCATACCACCTCTTAAGTTTCGAAGTTTTGTGAAAAGCTGTAAATATAATGAAAGTCAAATTATAATATAATAAGCTTTTTACCCTTTAAGTGGAACCAAACATTATCCATGCAACCCTACGAGTTCATTTCTAATATATTATGTAGGTTGCCTAGAAGAGATTACTTTAAGTGATTTGGTGATATGGAGAGTGATTTTAAGGCCAAAAAATCCGTCCACCCGTTTTCGAGTGAAAGAGTAACAAACATACACAAATATACAAACATTCGCATTTATAATGATAGTCCGACTACGTCTAATATTATCTTACTAAATTATAAATGTGAAAGTTTAGATGGATGTTTGTTACTCAATCACGCTAGAACGGCTAAATGGATCTAGATGAAATTTGGTACAGAGATAAATAATTATAGTCTGGAATAGCATATAGGCTACTTTTTATCCCGGAAAAACATACGGTTCCCGTGGAATACATATGTTTTTGTTTTTCTAGAGGCGAACCCGAGCGAAGCGAGGGTGAGCCACTATTACATACGTCATACATACAATGAACTACGAATGAATATCGTTTATATAATGAACTGTAATTACATTCAAAAAAAAAATTCAAAGATCTTTAAAAAAAAAAAATATTTTTTGATCAAAAACTTATTTGTACATGCAATATTAAGGAATACAGTGTAAGATATTGAAATAATTGCTTGAAAAACCTTTCAACCGATATTTTCGTTATTATCGCGACTTTGTCAGAGTCAAGTTTATCATGAAATTAAAAGCGACCTTCTATTTAGTACGGTTGATTCTATCTAAGGCATTTATTACTTCATCAATTTTGTTTTCAGTGCCAATGTAAGTGGAACACGTTAAGTTACAAAGTATTTGTTTGTAACATGCTCTAATAAAAAAATAATGATTAAAATCGATATGCAATCGGTAGTAATTGAATATGATCTTTTTCTTAAGCCGGTCAAGAATAATTGTCAAGCAGAGTTGAAATAATATTTTGTTCTTAGAAATGAGACAATGGCTATATTTATTAAGTAATTAGCAACTTGAAATCGTTACGCTCAGGTGCGTGAATAGGTATGTATCCGTTTTAAATATACAAAAAAGTTATAGCGAGTGTACCTTACGAGATACTCTCATACTATTAGCATGCTTAGCTGTAGGCCTTTTTTAATCTGCAATTTTTTGTAATAAAAGGTATTCTAAATGTTGACCCTAATAATAATTTGACTTACAGACAAACATACAAAATTATCAATAATTATTTTTTGAAGTCTATATATTCTGTACACAATACGTTACAAACATTGTTTTTAAAAAAATATTTCATGTACAGATTTCGCTTTGTTATTATTTTATTATACATAATAGGTTAAAAATTGAAAACCTGAAGAGTCATTTATTAGTTTTTTTTTTCAAAAAAAAATATTTTACAGCCTATTTATTTAAGAATCTTATAGGCTTTCTAACTTGATATTTAAAAGAGCAACTGGTGAATTTTTTGGGCTCTCCTCAGCAGAACTGCTTTCCGCTCCGTTGGTAGCTTCGTTACTACAAAGATGCTCTTTAAAGTAAATTGACGATTCGAAAGTGCTCATCTAAGTCCAATTTATATACATATAATAAAATTGTAGAGGTCGAATATCTGTATATAGAAAAAAATGCTAAAAACCGAGCCAAAGGGATATAAGAAGAGAAATAGAACAAATCCAGTTTTTTTTTCAATTTTTTTGTTGCTCTGTCTGTTTATCTGTTTGTACGGGCAACTCTCCGAAACTGTTGAACCGATTTAAATTAAATTTTTCGTGGTGATATCCCCGGTCAACATTTTAGATACTTTTTATCCAGGAAAATTAAAGAGTTCCCGTGGGATAGTTAAAAAACTATAGTAACTTATACAGCTTAATACACAAAAACTACTGATTGTATTTTAATGAAACTTTAAAATAATATAGTTCATACAATAGAATAACAAAAAGGCTACTTTTTATTCCGGAAAAAGGTACGGTTCCTGTGGGATAGATTCGTTTTTGTTTGTCTAGAGGCCAACCCGAGCGAAGCGAGAGTGAGCCGCTAGTAAAGTATAATTTAATTCTTTTATTTCTTCACCTTTATGCCTTTAGGAGCAATTTCACATAAATAAATACTTCGCAAGCAGAGTGGTAAGCTAAAGCTAGTGTAACACAATTGTATTACCACAAAAACCCGTTAAAACAAAACATAAAAAAAGACTTCTATTAGCAAAGTAAATAAAACTGCACGAAATGACCTAAATTATGATTTCTATTGCAATAACTTTGTCTTATAGAACATTCTAGACTATATGAAGGGTTCTTGTTATGACCAAATATTGCGTTTTGTTCGATCGTCAAACATTATTTGCAAATATTTGACATACTCGTAGCTTTAAGAAATTTTCTGTTAAAACTACGTATTTTAATAATAAAATATATTTAATATGTTTTTAAGTACATAAGTTAAGTGAAGATTTAAAATGGTTGTAACATACTACGCGTCATAAAAAGCAAGTGAACAGACGATGTTGAAAGCAGTTAGTTTCGAAATAGTGAATAACTCGAAGTCGAAAGTGCTGTTTGAGACACTTCTAGAATAGTAGGCTTATATTTTCTTGTATGTTAAGGTTTTAGAAGGACATAAATAATACTATATTCTGTACCTATATAATTATTTATATAAATAAGAATGAAATACTGTCCGTTGGTAAGGTTACTTAAAAAGACAGGACCAATCCGGATTTTTTTTCTAAAATATATCGAATACGAATTATTATCCCAAATTGGGAATTTCAGAATAAAATAAAAATGATTTAGTATAGGTCTTTTGGAAGAACCCAAAATCACTCAATAGTTGTATTGTACAAAGTACAAATGTTCACAATATTTTTTTTTATTTTTTGAAATTTTAACGTCTGTCGGGTAATATTTTAAACTAGTAAACGTCCTCTTTCTTGTCTTTAATACTTAAGCTGCTAAGCATCGATTACAAAACATCAACATTACATTATTGTCTATAAATAATACCATAGATTATAGTGCAAACTGAATCTATGTACGTATATGAAAAATTATGTAAAGTATATGTATACTCACTTCATCATTTAGCATTTCTTCGAGTCGCTGTTTTGGAGTTTTGCCTTTTTTGGAACGAACAAACAGGAAAATTTTACCAATATCCGGGCATTTTCTGTAATTATTATAATACATCATTAATATCACATAGTTAAATATAAAACCCTGTAATACTTCCTTACTTCTTTCTTCTAATATATTAATTTAAACAATTTCGTCTTGAAACAATATAAGCAACGCAAGTTGTTGATATTCTTATCTGATTTATGTATATTTATGAATATGTATAATTAACTACCGTGTACGAATCCGAAGTGCACAGGAAAATTATACATGGTTTTTGTTGCGCTGTTTTTTTTTCATTGGTGTTTAAACAAATGTCATGTAAATAAATAAAATAAAATTCGAATAACATTGAAAATGTATATCTTAAGTCATTTTTATATTGTCATGTATAAATTTTCACTCTATTGGATCACGGAAAGGAACCGATAGATGGATGGACCGTTCTATTGGATCGATGTAAATAAATAAATATTTAAAATACCTTAAGAGTTTCTCCACCAAAACTTTGCCCATAAATCCAGTACCCCCAGTTATTAGTACTTTTAAGCCTGAAAACGTTTTTGCTATGCGATCCGGCATCGATTCCAACTCACTCGACGTATAGCCTTCTGATGCCATCGTAGATTCTGAAATTATAATAAGGTTAAAGAAATGTAAACTTTTTATTATGATTTAGTGTATTCAGCTCGTTATAACATCCCACTGCTGGGCACGGGCCTCCTTTCAATGAAATCATACCATAGTCCGAAAACTTGCTAGGTTCTAAGTTCTCCTTCTCACAATTTTATGTTCACAATTTCACTTAAATGAAAATTCCTGTACATAAAATTTAAAATAAATGTATTTGGGGGACTTTATGACTTATGTCAGTGAAAGAAGGAGAGAGATCGTTTTTTAGCAAGCCACAGACGCGTTGAAGTCTTTTCCATGTGCTTTTTGGTACTAAATATTATTGTAAGTACTTATAAAATACCATAATTTAAATTTAATTTTAACTTAATTTTTGCGCTTGTTTTAAGAGACGTAGGCTCGTTCGAGTCTGGGCGAAGCGACGCCTTGGATGTTTGTATAACTGTTAAGTATAATACTATAAATTATATAATATAAATATAAGAACAACTGTACTTTTGATCGACTTAAGGAGCATTTTTTTGTGTAATACAAACACGAGATCTTCAGCAAATGTGAATTTATAAATTATTAATATTTTCTTAAATTTACGTCATTATTTGACATTTTAAATAAAACTTTCGTTTCGGGTTTATTCCCGTGATTATAATTGATCTCCCGCGACCATGTTTGCTGTGAAGCACACGAAATGTAGAGAGCCAAAAATACTTTTTACAAGCTTTTAAATTACATAAATGCGAAAAATTGTATGTATGTTTATTATAGTTCACACATAGACTATAAGCTGGAGTAACACATAGGCTAGTGCTAGTAAATTATATTTGTTTATTTAATTTATTTAGTTCGCTAGCGACTCTAACATGTGTTCAAGTAAAATACATAAAACTAATTAAATGCAGTCATTACTATGTAAAATCATATAAAGCAACAGACAACATACATAAATAATTACTCTTAATAAAACTGTACAGGCAGTGTTAGCCCAGTGTTAACGCGCTCGCATGGGAAACCGAATGAATCGAGTCCAAATCCCGGGTCTCGCACCTCTGATATTTTCATGTGCGAATTATTTTCAACATGATTACCATTTATCTAATGATGAAGGAAAATATCGTAAGAACTTAGGGAGTTTTCGAAAGACATACTCAGTCCGCGCGCACTTGATCACCATGATGGACTATGGCTTGATCCCCCTCGCATTAAAGGGAGCCTTTTGCCCAGCAGTGGGACGTTAAAAAAGGGCTGAATTCATACATATGAAATTAAACAACTGAAAATTTAGAAGAAAGCTAAAAACAATAATAGGAAATTAAAAGCTTTAGAAAAAACAATGCCAGGCAAACAAATTATAAAAAAATTTGCCAAAAGATGGCACTGTCTGTATATAATACATAAATACTGTCTGTATACATAAATACAAAAGCATAATATAATAATACAGTAGAGTGCTCTATGTGCATCATTTGCCCTATTCATGTAACGAGTGACGCCAGTACATTGTTTTACGTATAATTTAATTCTGTCTAGTGGAACAGCTTTGTGACAGTTGTAATGGAGGTCATAGGTTCAATTACCGCATGCGTCACGTGTCTTACTTATTTACACGTGTCATACTTAGTTATACTTTCAGCAATATTAAAGGCAAATAAACGATTTTTAGGGTTCTATACTGTATAAAGAAAATGCGAAACCATAACAACTATCGCGTCTATCGCCTAGTAGAGACAGTTTTAGTTGAAATTTGGTACATATTAATATACATAATAAAATAGTAACCTAGCAAGTTTCCGGATTATTATTATCATTATTATTATTTATATAAAATCAGATTAACTTCTTATTTTAATCTATATATACTTAAATAGACAGACATTTTTTGCACATTTTTGTCTTTCTGTTTGTCAACCGATTTTCTTTTTTCTTGGTTTAATAGCCATTGAAAAACTTTAGTGCTATCAATGAAAAAATATTGGAACCATTTTTTTATATATAACTTCATATATATTATTCTCAAACTTTCAATAATGGTTATGGTCTAATTACAACTGAACGAACACTAGTTACATACAATATGCGAAACCCGCAAAGCTATTATCTAAAACTTGACCAATTCTCAATTTTCTGCATAACACAAAAAAACGGTTTAGCAACGTTCGTGTACTCAGTTTATAAGACAACAATGCGATATTATGTAATGGCATTTAGAAGATTACGTCTCACCTTGACACTTTTTGTCGATCTCTTTGATGATAAATATTGCTTTTAAACAGTACATATAATAAAAATGTAACTAAGCCAAATCTTTATATTAAATATTTTTTGGAAAATCTTATTGATATAGACATTATTATCGATACAGAAGCCAAATCTATAGTTTTTAGAATTTTTGTCTGTCTATCTGTTACTGCATTACGGAAAAACCACTGGAGGGGTTTTGATGAAATTTGGTATGGTGGTAGCTGGTTATTCAGGTCAACATGTAGTACTTTTTACCGCGGGAAGATATCTCATTTTTGAAAAAAATACAAAAACTGCAATGTAAGAGTATACTAATATATAAAACCTAAGAATTTGGTTTTTGGTCATCTAAGCGCGGGCGGAGCCGCGGCCAATACTAGTATATCTATATAGATATACTATATTGTGCATCACAGAAATAGACGAAAATAAAAATAAACAAATAGATGATGCATAGGAGGCTGTCTTATAATATGTATAAGCGATATATTCCAGGCAACCTTAGGGCGTAAGAGTAGTTATATGACATTTGATCTACCATTGCCGTCCGCCTACCATTGTTGGCGGTGTACTTGCTACACGCAAATACATGTTCTAAATACATACATACATAAATACTTACAAATATACATACATTAATCTGATAACAAGAGTAAAAAAATCGAATATATAATTATCTCGTGTCACGGTGTTTGTGGTCACACTCCTTCGAAACGGCTCGACCTATTTTAATTTTTTTTTTTTGTATATGTATTAGGTAGGTCGTAAAGTATTTTTCACCCTTCTACTATCACCTCACATTTTTAATCGCGAATTTAGTATATTTGTATGAACAATATCCAAATAATTTAATATTATATAATTACACAGGGATGAACCGGAGCGAAGCGTTGGTGAGTCGCTGTATAACATAAAGCAATAGAGTTTATTTTGTAGATTGAACGCGGACGAAGCCGCGGGTTTAGCTATTATAATATAACTCTACTAAACAGATAAATAATTTGATTTTAACATTAGCTTAAAATCACACGTATGTACGAATTTAGAACTAATTCTTATATGAACAGCGGTCTGAATGTGACGTAATGTAAACCTTGAAGGCTTAATTAAAAAGCATGATGTGTTTGCAATAAAATATTTATTGTCACTATGAATTACTTGGTTTCGACAGAGGATCGCCAGTTCGATTCTTGGGAAAGGTATAAATAAGATTGAAAATACTTCGCACTGATGTGTTGTATTGAATGCTCTTTTGTTTGTAGTTATATAAATGTAATAGGTTGTTATATTTTTATTTTATCTAAGAATATAATATTTACTAATAGTAGTAATTTTACTAATATTATTAATACGAAATGTCTGTTGGTTTGTCTTAAGCAACAGAAAAACGGTTATTAGACGTCATTTTTTAATAGAGATAGGTAAAAAGTCTAAAAAATAAAAAAACTTTTTTTATTTATTTGACCTAAAATCAGAGATTAGCGCGTTTCAACAAACAATTTTGTAAATCTTTTTTATATCTGTACAAAATTAGTATATAATGTAATGAACATCTAATTACTTTTAATAAGATCAGTTCTCTTGAACTTCATCAGTAATACAATGAGCGATCTTACATAATATCACGGTAATGTATACGTAGTAATATTACCGTGATAATATATTGAATTGAGATGTGAACAAATAAGATAAGGTTTTTAGTAATCTTACTATTATATAAATGCGAGTTTAGATGGATGTATGTTTGTTACTCAATAACGCCAGAACGGCTGAACGGATCTGGATGAAATTTCACACAGAGATAGATTATATTCTGGAATAGTACAAGGGCTACTTATTATCCCGGAAAAATATACGATGGATATTCCCGTGGAATAGAATTGTTTTTATTTTTACTAATGATGAACCCGAGCGTGTGAATATATTTGTTATGTATTATATCAACCACTTTAGTTAGTTTTTTAAGGATTTAGCCCTTAAGACAAAAACTGAATCTTTAAAAAACTTAGGCATACCGTGCTATTTCCCTCTCAGAGTCCTTTACGTGCACTCCAAAATACAGTAAAAAAATATGCTTATATACCTGACACTAAAATTCCTTTTGTCAAATCTGGGAATCGAACCCAGGATCTCATGATCTGCTACCGGTCTGATGAGACGTAGTGTTATGTAACAAAACTAAATTACATTCAAAGAAACCTAAAACTAGTAAAAGGCCGAGTCTATTTCATCTTCTACCATCAATCTCTTTATGCACGCTCGTCATTTAAAAGGTAATTTGCGGTTTTATCATTACGCATGGATCTACAGAGCTTAAACAAGAGCACGCAGCAGTCGTAGACTGTTCACGATAGATCTCAATAACCTAAAAATATCTACAAAAATCTACAAGGTTTTCAGTGTATTTTTTCTTCCATAACTCGGAACTTATTGATTTGATCCCTGTACCTTAAAGAAACATCAACGTATGGCTTTACATCTTCATTACCACTGTACCACATGTCCAAATCAAGTTAAGTATCACTATTACAAATAGAAAAGCGTAAATGATTGCTTCATTTTTATGATAAAATTATGCTTTAATGCTGGACCCATTGGGATGAAACTTAGAACACGGATAGATTACTAGAATCTTAGCAATAAAATATGCCAAAAGGTAGCGCTATCTGTACATCTATCTAACATCTTTTGTATAAATAAAAATGAATATTCGTATGTTTGTCTTCTATGCGTTTCTAAACCATTGAACCGATTGTGA